CCCGAATCTATATAATAAAAAAAAAGACTTACAGCAAAGAACCTCTAAGTTTCATCAGTGATGCTATTCTGACGAAGAGAAATCAGAAACATAATGGCGACCTAATGCAACATTGGCTTGTGCATGAACAATCTCTCTCTGTTTCAATATCTAGTTCTTGACCTTGTTTTTATTCTTTCGTCAAGGTAAATCACTAGCCTGATCTAAAATATTAAAATATTGTAATTTGTTAAACTCTTTCCCTTTTGTCCGGGACCCTGTGGTCTATTGTGGTCGTGGTAAGAAAAAGAATTTAGAACACCAACACTTTCAAATTTCATTTACCTATCACACGAAACTAAATCATATTGCTTTAGACATCTATAGACATCCATATGAATATTAGTACTTTGTTCATCCATATGAATATTAGTACTTTGTTTTTGCCCCATTTAAATATGGGAATCTATCAGTACCGGCCTTGAGGGGAAGCATTACAAGCAACCGTTTCTGGCCCTCAAAAAATATTTGAAAAATTCAGCCTCTTTTATAAGAAAATTACTATTATAGTATATAAACGTTCTTATAAAATGGCCAATTTTTAAAAAATTGCTTCTGGTCTTTCCCATGTCAGGATCGGTAGTGAAATCTATCCATGAGATGCATTTAGATATTAGTATGAAGTTTCCGTTAAGAGATGACAATCTTGGATCTGAACCGCGGGTTTAGCCTGTATAGAACTATCACGAAATGGTATTGGGACGATGTTGTCTAGACCCGTAAATTTGCAGACCTCACGGGATAGATTTTTGCAGAACTGTATTTTTTGCGGGATGGGCCAAAACGGATCCCGCTGGAAATTCCGTAGATTCAAATATCTCTAGGTTAATCCCAAAAAAAATATTTCCCATTTTTAAAATAGAATTCACATATTTGGCAAACAAGAAACGTCTAATAGCTTTATGTATTGATACATTTTAGTTTATTAATCTAATGTTCGGCCTTGAAAATCATGTTATTTGCGCTCTCTTGTTGTGATTATTGACTTCTTTTTTTTTCAAACAGTCAAGGCTATTAATGTTTTAGTGTTCGATTTTAAACACATGTTGATACTTTTAGTGAAAATTGTAATTTCTTAGAAGAACAAATTCTTTTGTTTTTTGTTTTAATTTCTTTTGACCGTTCCTGGCCCTTTGGTGTGATTTTCCATGAATGGTTCAATATATAATGTGAGTTTGACGTCACAAGTTTTCCATAAAGATATCTCTGACTATTTTCCATCCCAAAGAGGTAATTAAACTTGCGAGATATGTAGACAGTTCCAGAAAAAGTGGACTAAGAATAATTTTGTATTGTTGACAAGAATAAATTCGAAAATCCGTATATACCAAAGGAACCCAAATAATTACAATATTATTCCAAACTTGTTGAAACAAAAGGTTCAATAAAATTGGGGAAGAGAAATCATATCGCTGCTCTATGTACGTCTATAAATAGTGGCTTCAAGAGTCCTCATCATCATCATCATCTCATCACCAACCGTCTGGTACTTCTCTACGCCCATACATACATCTAATCATAAGTTCTCCAATATCATAAGTTCACCAAACTTGGTCTTTTAATCAAGATCTGCATTTTCGCTAGAGATATATTTCAACTTTTATAGTATTTAATGTACTTTTGGGAGGCGTTGATAGTGTTGACAGAAGATAGAGAGCACAGATGGTGAGATGCAATTTGGAGCAGCTTTTATGCATTCTACTCCTTTGTGCTCTCTAGTCTTCTGTCATCACCCGTTATTTGCCTTTACCCACCGTATATATAACCTATTTTTTTTTCATTCTATGACTCAATTACTACTTGAAACTATAAATAATACACAGTTTAACCCTAATTTTTTTTATCAAGAGAAACTGAACTTGCATGATCATATGTTCTATTTTTATTTATATATTTTCTAAGTTTCTTTATTGAGTTGTCTAATATTCAAATTTGGTTCGAGGGGTAATTTAATTAGGCTTTATCCAAATCGTTTTTATATTAGTGATAAAAAATTTAGGTTTGAAGCCTATGATCTAAATGGTGAATATGATATAAGAGTTGGCTATCTTAATCATTTAAGTTTTTATATTCACAAAAAAGAATAAGACAAAATAGCACATTAGGGGCAAAAGAAAAACTTAAACAGGATATTACTTTGGTATTGGAATTGTTGTGGTTTTTTTTTGTTAGCAGAAAGCAGTATGCGGGTTTGAACTCAGAAAGATCAATGACTTTAGCACAGCCCATTAGTCTCAGTAAACTGATCTCTATATATTATTGTATCGTTGAGGGAAAATAACAAATGAGACAACTGGAAAAGATAAGTGTTTATCTTATAGAGACCTTGAATGGATATTGAAAACATCAGCTTTTAAAGTTGTTTCATGGCCAAATTATATATCACCCTGACTTTGCTTTTCAAGTGTTTTTCGAGTCTTTTAAATTCAAAGACGATGAAGTTTTGGGAACAAGGACTTAGGAACTGAGCAAACAAGACAATAATGGACATTTTGGGCTAGATTGATTGATCCTCATTTGTATTTGATCAAACTTGTATTAATCAAAAATTGTAGAATGTTTGACGATAGATAGGAAACATGAAAATCGGTCAAGTCGCTCAGGATAAATCGATCTTCTTTATAGATCATCGATTGCTAAACCGGTTCAGCTCGAGGAAAATTGGAATCGTTTAATTTTCTTTATTTTTTTTGTTTAACATTTGAACTTGACTGATCACTTAATTAATGATATTTAAGTTCTTTAGTGCATTGAAAATGACTATTTAAATGTGTGAACAAAGCTATATGCACAAAAAAATATTAACCAATGAAATTTGATGTTAGGAATTTATGAACAATCAAACATGTTGAGAATGCATATTACGTTGTTGGATTCAACTGAAGTTAAACTTCACCTATGTAAACATAAGAGTTTGTACTTCAGGAGAAGACTAATGTAGTTAAAGAAGTTTGAGTTCGAAAACGCTTTTTTCTTTGTCTTGCAAATCATTTCATGATCTTTGTATTTTGATTATTATTTGCCGTTTAACGCTTTTTAACATAAGTTCAGATTTCGTTTACATTTTCTTTTTACGTTCTCTATAATTAAAAACCACAAAACAAACTTTTTTATTCTTTCTCTATTTTTCTCTCATAGATTCATAGTGATGACTGATGTTTCGTTTCCATATTTACCAAAAGATATTTCAATCATTATATCATAGATTTGTGGCCTCCTAAATCAAATATTGTTTGTTGAAACTTGTTCACATAAAACGAAAATTTCATGTCTGGTTATGGCAAAACACTCAATCACAACGTCATAGAAACATCTTACAAAACTACATCATGTTTAATGTGATTTCATGGTAAAATCAAAAGTAGGCTACCTTATTGATGACATTACACAGTTCAAACCCGCAGGACACATGTCTATACGAAACTCATCAGTTTTCAAAAGATCTCCTACTATGTTCTTATATTGATGGCTAAACTCAAGCATACGCAGAGAACAAAAACTGAAGGGGTGCATTAAGCTCACTAGTCACTGGACAATAAGGCGACACTTTATCTGTAAGGTTAAAAGAGCCAAAGACAGGAGGCAACACCCAGACGTGAGATGCTACATTCGAAGCAACAAACTTGGTAGAGCAATAAGTATCAATCAGAAGAAGCACTATGAGCATTTTAGTGTTAAGTCAAATACTAACTCTACATCAAATAGCTCGTGAAGGCCACACATCCAGTAGAAGAGCATGATAACTAGAAGTTAACTATAATAGAAAAGTTAACTATTTAAGTTTACAGAATGCATCTACGCATAGTGGTTCTCAATACAACTAGCTGAGGCACAGCGTTCTGTTGTAGACCCTAAACAGACAACACAACATATAAAAAGAAAAGTATCATCCAACACAGTTACTGCATTCTCAATGTGAGTTCACTAGGAATGGTAAAAAGTAAGCTAAGTGAGGAATGACAAGACACATTAAAATCACTACCGTAAGAAGGAAACAACTTTTCTTTTGAAATCAGATACTCCAAAACAAAGCTCCTGAAAGGCACACATTTAGTAGCAAACTAAAACAGAATACTATAAATAGGAAACAATCATTTAACTCTACCTAATGGAGCAACGACTGGAAATCATGAATACTGTAAGTTCGGGAGACCACAATTCTGATGCATATAGGTAAACGAAGTCACTCATTTTTAAGGCAAATAGAGTTGTTTGATACCTTCCTTCACTAGAGCTAAAACGGGAAAATGAATACAATTATCTTCTTTTCTGTTTCAACTTTTTGCTTGGATCTACAGGGAGCGTGAATCCTCAGCCAAAAAGACTCTTCTAATCTGAGACAATCCCTCTCTTAGGCAAAACTTCCTTCAAATTCTACAAGTTAAATTGTCATGTATATGACCAAAGTTTTAAGGCACGACATCTGCAATCTCTTATCAACCTGATTCCAACAACAATCTAACATAGTAAAAACAATATACTAATTAGTACTACTGTATTCACCGGGTTCAACTAGTACATCATTCTCTAAATGAAAGTAAAATCCAATCCAATTCGATCTTCTCAACCTTGAAGATTCATAATGTATCTTCCAGCTAGAAAACCGGCCAAAGACGATTCTACATCAATCTTGAAGCTTAAAAGTTGGAACCTTATTTGCAAATAAGTAGTTGCAGATCAACTCATACATGCATATCATCACATGATACTCCCATGCTCAGTAGATCAGCAAAAACTATACCACTGGTTTGTTGTGAAACGAAGATAGTCTTAACATGAGAAACCAAAACCAGTGTTATACTACCAACACAAACAGTTCACAATGTCTACTTTTACACTAGGAATCAAAACTATCAACACGTCAAGAAACCAAAACTCCCTAAACAAATCAAACAGAACACAGAAGATTGAAACAGTCACTTGAAAGAAAGTTGCATACTTTTGCACAAAGTTAAAAACTTTCATCATCTCCATCCGTAATTATATTCCTTTAACCGTATCAACATTTATTTAACATAGTTCCCTTTCTATCATCCAATTACCCAGAAAAAAATAACGATATTTAAAGGTATCATCAAATCTGAAAATCTGTACAAGCCGCTAATTATCATTATTACCCTTTTTTATTTATTACGTATATAAACCTTTGCTCTTCGCAGATCAGTGAGTGAGAAGCATCCTCTCTTGATCGGTAAGTGAGTGACGAAAATGGCAACGGTGGCCGTAAGGACACGTGGCTCCAGTAACGATCATACGGCAGACTTCGGTTTTGTAGCGAGGGTGCCTTATCACCGGACGTAGCTCGTCGATTCCGTGAGCGAACTGGCAGTTATCGCCGTAAGGACAAGCTCCCGTCTCTTGCCACTTGTTGCAAAGCTCCGTCTTCGTCATCCCTTGACGGTAAACCTCAAGCTCCAACGCATCTCTCTCCCCTTTCGTTGGCACACACACCTTTTGAGTTACCTTCATAGATTTAATAAACATTTTATTCGTAATAAAATTAATAAAGAAAGTGAAATTAAAATAATTATGACGTGAGGAATGATTACCGAGTCGGAACTGAGTTGACTCGTTTGATGACTCGCGACGTTACATCCATGGCTTCCCTGATTCATCATCTTGAGATATCCTTGCGAGCGGACGGAGATGGATTTAGGCAACGATTTTCTCTCCGGATTGCTCGATCTCACCGGATGACGATGTTCGGAGATCTGGCGGTTATGGACGTGCGGTGGAGAGACGGAGACGGAGGAGGAGGAGGAAGACGAAGTGGAGATATGGATGAGCTTGAGGAGATCGACGTTCTCCTGGCGGAGCGCGTCGTTCTCGCGGCGGAGCGAGTCGAGCTCCGTCATCAGGGACTGGAGACGGGAGAGGCAGATCTCGTAGTGCTCGTTGAGCTCGTCGTATTCGAGGATGAGACTCGCTTGGCGGAGGCGGTGCTCGGTGGCGGCGTCGTCGAGGCGAGAGGGAGGAGAGGAGGAGGAGTAGGGAGGTGACGGAGAGAGGGAAAGCGAGTCGGGGAACTGAGATTCCGGCGAGAAGATGGAGTTGTAGAGCGAGGCGAAGCTTGCGGCGAAATCTTCCTGGTGCTGTTTGGTGACGCTTTTGTCAGATTGTGGTGATAACGGAGGCGGTGGTGAGTTTAGCGCCGTCACGTATGCGAGGTCTGTTACGGTGGACGCCGCTACTTTCTCCATTTTGCGATTCTGTTATAAGCTTTCCTGAAGAAGATTTGTTCAAAAGAGAGAATAATCGAATTCAGAGATAATCTACGGTTGAAACAGCATTGATTTCGATAAATCTACGAAATCTCCAGAAAAATTGAACTCTGAAACTACAAATAATGCTCTGGTTTGATCGGAGAAGACGATAGAAGTTACACAACAAAACAGAACGAGCAAAACCTAGAGAGAGAGAGAGAGAGTACCTGAGTATCTTTGAAGTGTGGAGAAGCAAAAGAGAAAGAGGCGGTGAAAGAAAGATGAACAATGCTCTGTAAATGACTATATATACACACGAACCAAGAGATAGGTGAGGAAGAAGAAGAGTAACACTCACATGCGGGAGAGTCCACCAGAAGCTTTTTCTGTTACTCGATCGAGACCGTGCAGTGGGTCGGTCTATGGATTTGGGTGTATTTAATTGGTTAGTGAATCGCTTCTCTGTGCTTTAGTAAAGCACAGAAGAGTACTACCTACTTTACTTTTCCCGCCTACCTTCAGAACCGTTAGAGGTCTTTAACAGAAAATTGTCATTTATTTATTTATTTTTTTAGGGAAAATGTAGATAGCTTCAACTACAAAACTAGTGTTTGGAAATTGCATACAAAGATACTGAGAGAAATGATTAGCATATTCGGTTTTTTGGTGTATAGTTTTAAGCGTGGGATTGTAGCAAATATCTATCTATCTATGCTATTATTTGCGAAGTGATTTTTCGCAACGGAGCTCCCACGTTAAAAGTTGGAGTGGTTAATTGATTCTATCCTTAATGAATAAATTATAAAAATTAATTATATATAAAAACGAATTTTAATTTATTTTATTAGATAATTTATTTTAATCAATAACAATAAGAGTTATCCAAAATCAAAAATATATTTTATTTTAAAAAGATAATTCCTATATATATTGTATTGTTATCTGAAACTATCTTTTCATAAAATATTTAAAAATTCAAAAACAGAAAACAATAATTTAATATTACTTAATTAAAATTCTTAATTTTATCTATATTATTATTTGCGAAGTGATTTTTCACAATGGAGCTCTCACGTTAAAAGTTGGAGTGGTTAATATCGATTCTATCCTTAATGAATAAATTATATAAATTAACTATATATAAAAAAGAATTTTAATTTATAATTAGATAATTTATTTTAATCAATAACAATAAGAGTTATCCAAAATCAAAAATATATTTTATTTTAAAAAAGTAATTCCTATATATATTGTATTGTTATCTGAAACTATCTTTTCATAAAATATTTAAAAATTCAAAAACAGAAAACAATAATTAAATATTAATTAATTAAAATTCTTAATTTTATATAATTGAAAAAATAATATTGAATAATTTTTAATAAAAGTAAAAATTTTGAAAATGATTTTTAATTAGTAATATATTTACTAACAAATAATTATAAAAAGCTTAAGTAAAGTAATTTTTCGTAACGGGGCTCCCACGTTAAAAGTTAGCGCGGTTAATATCGTTTATACCATTAATAAATAAATTATATATAAAAACGAATTTAAATTTATTTTATTAGATAAGTTATTTCAAACATAACAATAAGAGTTATCCAAATCCAAAAATATGTTTTATTTTAAACAGATAATTCATATATATATTGTATTGTTATCTCAAAGCTATTTTTGATAAAATATTTAAAAATTCAAAAACAGAAAATAAATAATTAAATATTAATTAATTAAAATTCATAATTTATTATAAGTGATTTTTCGCAATGGAGCTTTTACGTTAAAAGTTGGAGTGGTTAATATCGATTATACCCTTAATGAATAAATTATATAAATTAATTATATATAAAAACGAATTTTAATTTATTTTATTAGATAATTTATTTTAATCAATAACAATAAGAGTTATCCAAAACAAAAATATATTTTATTTTAAAAAGATAATTCCTATATATATTGTATTCTTATCTAAAACTATCTTTTCATAAAAAAATTAAAAATTCAAAAACAGAAAACAATAATTAAATATTAATTAATTAAAATTCTTAATTTTATATAATTGAAAAATAATATTGAATAATTTTTAATAAAAGTAAAAATTTTGAAAATGATTTTTAATTAGTAATATATTTACTAACAAATAATTATAAAAAGCTTAAGCAAAGTAATATTTCGTAACGGGGATCCCATGTTAAAAGTTAGCGCGGTTAATATTGTTTATACCATTAATGAATAAATTATATAAATTAATTATATATAAAAACGAATTTAAATTTATTTTATTAGATAAGTTATTTTAAACAATAACAATAAGAGTTATCCAAATCCAAAAATATATTTTATTTTAAACAGATAATTCATATATATATTGTATTGTTATCTGAAAGCTATCTTTGATAAAATATTTAATAATTCAAAAACAGAAAATAAATAATTAAATATTAATTAATTAAAATTCATAATTTTTTTATAAATGAAAAAATAATATTTGAATAATTTTAGGATTAAAAATTTTCAAAATGAAAACACAAACAATAATATATGCTTATAATTTTAATTAGTAATATATTTAATTAATATATATAATTATAAAACACTTAAGCCCGCATGGTGGACAAAACACCTAGTTCATTATAAAATGTTAACCCACTTTTACCATTTATAATTTTACTAATTAGCATCTTACTTAAATTTTTACTTTAGAATTATCCATCTTCTCATTTAGAAAATTTTCATGAAAAGTACATTATGAATATTGCGAGACAAAAAGACTAATAAAACGTAATTTGAAAATTTAGATGGAAACAAAAATGTTTGTTACGGGGGAAGTTTTGCTTGTCACTAAAGGAATTGTAATTTAGAGAATACAAAAAAAAGTAGTGATGTATTTGTTGAAAAAAAAAAATTTAATCTTGAATTCTATTTAAAAGTTTGGTTGGCTCGATCATGAATAAGAATAGTTGATTAAGTGACCATGAAATAATTAAAATTAGATGTCATTGTTTAATTTTCAGGTTGCAAGCGACAGTAGTAAGGTAAGGATGACAAATGAGAGTTTGCTTCGAGAACACAGCTTTAACTAACTATATGGTCCCGCTTCTTCCTTGTGTACATACTTCAATCGAAATCTATCGTTGTGGCTAACTAACTAGAAAATGTTCCCTTCCTTCAAACCCAACAACCCAAACCCAATTTACTTTCTTACTCTTTGTTTCTCTTAAATATTATATAGTCGTCTCTCAGTTATGATCACAAATATTTGTTTTCTCAGCTGTTATTGTAACTTTTTTGAACACAACATATTTCATTCATTAAACTTAACCGTTTACAAAGGGTTTCAAATTAATTGGCTTATTCTAAAAAAAACTTTGTTCTTTGAAAGCCATATCTCGTTGTCTCTGATACTGCATGATTCCGCTCTAAAAGAACTCCGAATCATTCTTTTAAAGTTCATATTTTAAAGCTTTCTATTCCATATCCGTTTCAATTAGTATATATCTGGGTCTTTTTTTTTGTTTGAACCATACGAAATGAAATTCTCATATACAGTTTTTAGAGGGGAGGAACACCTATCTCAATAAAGTTTATGACTGATTTAAAGAACGTCTTGAGATTCAAACGATTGCAGACAATATAACTAGTAAATATATTTCTCCGTATGTCAATATATTTTATTGTCTAGGAGAAACTACCACAACATCCGTAGATGTGCCCTCCTAAAGGAAATTTCAATACAAGGCAATAGAAAGATAGAGACACAAGTTTGTCAAAGCTTGATAACACGTTAAAACAAAATTCAAAGGTGCTACATACGAGTAAGCTTCTAGAGCGATTACATCGTCCTTCAAATTCTTCAGCGGAAATAGTCATCGTGACGTTGAGCGCTCATGGCCGGTCCTGGGGCAAACCGGGTGAAACATTCGCCTTTGATCCCCAAATTTTTTATCAAAAATTATATGTATATCGGCTCCCGAAAAAAAAAGAAATCGTTAGTTGAAATCTTTAGTTGAAATCGTTAAAATATCGTCTTAGACCCTCGAAATATCGTCTTAGTGCCTTCCGGTCCCAAACGAACCATCACATAAAGCATCAAACGGTAAGAAATTCGACAGATGTTGTTGTAACTTGAATCGCGAATTATATGAATTAACGATTAGCTGTTGTTGTAAATCGCGAATTATATGAATAAACGATTAGCTAATCAGAAATGTGTCAATGATACAAGCAGAGACATAAATGGGCCACTCAAATAAGGTTTAAGCCCAAAACATACACGAATGTACATGTGTTTTGGTAAATGCATTTGCATATACTGTATGTGTAGTACTTCATTTTTCTCGTTGACTACTAATAAACTCACAGTCACGACACAAAACCATGAAGTCAGATAGCCTCTGGAGTCGATCAACAGTCGTCAAAACCAGAAAAACCGAGTTTCCGGTTATCAGATTCCTCCGTGGATACCTCGAGAAAATCAAGGATAAAACCGGCGGTCCAGGAGTTGGCGGAGGTTTAGGCTGCGGCGCTGGACTCGGCATCGGTCTAACTGGCGGGCTCGGGTTAGACGCTTCAGAAGGATTGAACCATAGCAATGTGGTATTTGGAATCGGAATAGGTTGCGGTATCGGGTTGGGATTCGGGTACGGATTTGGAGTTGGTGGCGGAGTCAATTTCGATGACATTGGAGATTATTTGACCTATGAGAAGAGCTCTGGGTCAAAGTCAAAGTCCAAGTCCGGGTCGGGTAAAGGATTCTTTTCAATTGATTATTGAGAAATCTTTGTTAATCATCCATTTTTTCAGTCAAATACTCGTACTTGTTATCTTATTTATTTTGGTTTAACCATGTCTTTCGGTTTATGTATCTCACTTCCGGTTTATGTATCTCACTTCCGGTTTAAGTTCGTGTATGTAATGGAATCATTGAGCCTTGTCTTCTGGGTTGTTTTGAACGAGTTAGAAATAAGCTGAGAATGACTATATACTGTTGATGAGATCAGCTTTAGAATACTGCTTCTAGATCCCATAATGGCTAGTCTTGTGTGGGAGTGTGGTGGTTAATGCAAAAGCTTCAAAAGATCAATTTACAGTGGGTCAGGGATGGGACTTGCAAGCATTATGCAATAACTATGAAAATGGTATTAAGATGCTGAAGCTACTTATTACATGCGGTGTTGATTGGGAAGGACTGATAAGAGTTGTGTGATACTCACTCACTTCCATCAATGGTAGGCGAAGGACTATTTGTGATGCAAACAGTATGAGTCTAATCAACATTAAAGATGGTATCAGTAAGGCTGTTGTGATATGGGAAGTTAGTGACACCACTGAACACAAGATGTTCCATAAGAGAGTCATCTAAAAATGGTAACGAGGACTCAGGTTCGTATATTTGGAGCCGAGTTTAGGATGGAAATAGAGACAATGAAGAAGAATAACCAAAAGCGACTGTCTACCGAGAACCTTGGTATTGGCATTCCTATAAATTTAAGGAAGAAGGCTCTACTGAATTTTGTGTGTATAACGCACACATATGTTGAACAATTATCTACTCCATCATCTCAAAGTTCCTGCTCTGTCCCAATACTTACACGAGAGCTCCAGCAAGGCTACTATCATCAAGGTTATTCCTCAATGGAACGAACATCCTCCAAATCAAGTTACATTAGAAGTCTATCTCGATTTCATCACTGAATATTCAGTTTTTTAATCCTTAAGGACAAATATGTTGTGAAGAAGGAAACATTATGACAAGAATTATGCTTGCTTTACTTCTTTATTTTGCTTTAAACATGTCTCTCATTTTTATGTATCTCAGTTATCTTTTTCTTCCTCCCTCATCTGTTTCTCTTCTCAAATCTATCCGTAACAACATAGCTTACCTTAGTATCAAAATTAAGAAGGATGAACATAAACATAATGGCGATAGTTACATCAAATATATCATGATAACTTAGTGTATTATTGAACAAAAAACTCTAGAAGTTCAGAAAAATAAAGAAGAAAACACTTGGTTATTTTAAATCGAAGATGCCAGTTTTTCGAAGCTCTCAAAAACATTTCTCATGATTGGTCTTTTATCTGGGCTCTTCTGTACACACGCTAAACCGATCTTGATCACTTGAACCATACTGTCTTCCAAATCTCTGTCTCGAGCCAAAACCGGATCAAGAACAAACCAAACCGGTTTATTTCTCTCAGCAGCCGATTCAACCCACATAACCAAATCCGTCTCTGAACCATTAGTCTGCATAACCGGAACTTTCCCGGTTACCATTTCAAGTACAACTAAACCGAATGAATACACGTCCCATTTCTGAGACGGTTTAGTCATCTTTGAAGCTTCAGGAGCTTGATAATATGCTTCTCTTGAGACACTTGGTGAGCGTGTCTCCATCGGAGAGATCTGATCTAATCTAGTAGTGTCTGAAGAAGGCATGTCGACAATACGCCCCAAACCGAAACCTGAAATTTTCGGTTCAAGATTTGGTCCGAGAAGTATGTTGCTGGAGGTTATATGTCCATGGACGTATCTTTTGGGACTGAACTCGTGAATGTATGTCAATCCTTTCGCGATTCCTCTTAATATTCTTAATCGAACCGGCCAAGAAAGTTGCTTGCAGGACAAGCTACCTGGTCTACCTGTTAAATAACTTATATGAATCAGACTTGAATCTTAAGGTTTAACTTTAAAAATAGAGAAATTTCTTAAAACACTTTTCAGAAATAATGTTAATAAAATATATCTTAACATTTAGATCTAGGTTTAGTGATTATTGTTTAGGATTTAATATTTAATTGTTAAACATTTACAAATGACGTAAAAAGGCTAATTAATATTTTTCATCACAAATTTAAAATATTTATGAAAATAATCATGTAAATTTGAAAACTAATATCAAGTTTATGGTTTTCAACATTCAAGAATTTACTCTATTTGATTAGAACTTACCTTGAATTGCAGAACCAAGGTCACCATTTGGTATGTAATCATAGATTAGGAGTTTCTCTTCAGGAGACCAGCAACAAGCTTGAAGATTCAAGACATTAGGGTGCTTGATTTTCGCCATTGCTTCCACATCAGCAAGAAACTCTTTGAGCCTTAACCAACCTTTATCTTCCAATCTTCTAACGGCTAACATTAACCCGTTTTCAAGAACAACTTTGTAGACAAGTCCGATCCTGCTCTTTCCTAGAAGAAAAGCCGATGCTTTGAGAAGCTGGTCTAGGTCAAACTGAATCTCCGGGTCCATTGGTATGAAAACCTGCTGAGTTTTGTTTTCCTCTAACGCCTTGGGTTCTAAGTTTCCTGTCTTGAAACAGAGAAACTCTTGCATTGTCTTCTTCTCTGAGTGACACGTTCGGTTGTTATGATCCTTGTCTGCACGAGCTGAGGATGATTTTCGGAGACAGTAGATGAATAATGAAGCAAGAAAGATGATTCCAGCGACTGTGCATCCGATGGCTGTAAGTATGACGCAAAACCTAGAATGATGGTTGGCTTTTTGGGAATATAGTTGAGAAGGAATTACTTGTGTGTTCCTTGTGACGCAAGGAACCTTTGTAGGTATTCCACAGAGCAAAGGGTTCCCTTGGAAAGCATTTGGACCAGCGTTGAGAAAGACGTTTGATGTTGGTATCGTACCACTGAGATTATTGTAAGAAAGATCGACATAGAGAAGCTCCGGGAGATCTCCAAGGCTTGTTGGAATCATACCTGACAAGGAGTTATGAGAAAGATCAAGAGTACCTTTCAGATTCTTCATACTTCCTATATCTTCAGGGATTGTTCCACTTAAGCGGTTGAAAGAAAGATTCAGCGTCTGGAGATTAACCAAATTAGAACCGAACCCGGTTGGTAGATCTCCAGAGAAGTTGTTGTTGCTAAGAACAAGGGTCTTCAGCTTATTGCATTGAACAAGTGACAGAGTTATCGAACCGTTGAAAGAGTTCTTTGAGAGATCCAAAGTGATCAGACTCTTCAACCTCCCAATCTCTTGTGGAACAAACCCGGAAAACGAATTTCCGGACAGCACCAAGCTTTGAAGCCCTTTTGGTGCAAAGAGCTCCATAGGTAAGTTTCCTTGAAACTCATTGTTTTTGAGGTTAATGTGTTTAAGGGACAAGAGGGTTCCTATGGAAGGATGAAGAGAACCCGTGAGGTTTTTGTTGGGAAGACGGATTGAGACAACTCTCTGATCTTCATTACATGTAATGCCTTGCCAAAAACAAGGGTTTGAATCTGAGGAGTTCCAAGTGGTAAAGACAGAGTTTTCTTTCTGGTTTTGTAAGGATTGCTTAAAGGAGAGAAGAGCAAAGCCTTGATCGTTTAGAGAAGTAGCTATGGAAATGAAAAGGGTTAAGAAGAAGCAGAGGATGAGAAATAATTGAGTCATCTTTTACAATTCTGAATTTGAGTAAAGTTTGGCTCTTAAGTATCTACAAAAAGGAAGAAAGTATATAGAGTTGGTGTACGCTGGACTGGCCTAATGTTTCCAAGTCAACAGTTGCAATTCATTTTCACTTCTAACATTTAAAGATTTTTGTTGTTTTCTGTTGAAGAAAGTTACCAGCAAACAAAATAAGTATATAATAGAACCAAATACTTTTCTATAGAATATGGTATTTTTGAATAGAGTATGAATGAAATTAGCGGCGATTGAGGCGATGATTGGAACAGTAATGGGGAACGTAATGTAATGAGGAACAGCTTTCTAGTTTCTAGTTGTTTAGTGGTGGGGAGATGTCTTGACGCTTAGTAGCTTCCAAATCCTAAAAGTCAAATCTCCACCAGAAAATTTTTTGTGGCTGTCATTTTAGTTTGAGTCGGCTCGATCTTTTCTTTCATATACGCTTTTAGTTTTTTTGGAGTCTGAACCAATCTGGTTAATTTTGTGGAAGAATTAATTTATAGTACTAGTTAACACTTAACATGAAAAACACAATCAAATTATAACCAATAGGGTTGGGCTAGTGACCACCCACACTGTCTTAAAAGGTAAAAATATGTAATTGCTACGGGTTTTGTGGGATTAGTCTGTTAATGTCGGTCACCAGATCCCATGATTATAAAAAAAAACACACACAGTTTCAAAACAGACTTGAAGTGTTTTTCACAAGTCATGACCAAACATTATACCAGGGTTGTTGTTTAACACATGCATATAAATCAATCAAACAAAAGTTTACAAACTATATTCAATTAATACTCTGTAAACCAAATCGGTGAATAAAACGAAAGATGTCTGGTTTCTAACACTAACATATAAAATTATCTGCTCTTGTATTTTGAATTCGATGTACATGTGTATAAAACAGAATGCATTATTGTATCACTGTTATATACCTGGTCTACACAAATATAGCAAAGATACAAACAAATAAACCAATAACAAGTTACAACAATGTGAAACTTAAGATGCAAGCAAAAAATATTTTCAGTACCCAGACGAGCTAGCTCAACTGGTAACACCTCAAGCAATTGCTTGAGAGGTCACGAGTTCGAGTCTCGGGCGGGGAGGAGTGTCCAGGGCCGTAAAAGGTACAGACGCAGGCTGGCTCCGGGCCTGGGGGGATTAAGGCCGAAGGCCCGAACCCATCCCGGTTAAACAAAAAAAAAAAAAAAAAATATTTTCAGTATTCACTACAACAAGAACAACTAAACTCCTCACTGTTCTAAAGAGAACTTATTTTTTTTTCCTGCTAAAAAACTTAACCAAGTTGGGAACCTTCTTCTTCTTCTTGATTACAAAGTAACTCGGAGTCCCTCTGTTTCCTGATGATGAGTATCTCCTCGTCTTCCCTCCCTGAACCGGAGTGAACTTCCCACTAACCCTCACCGACCTTCTCACCGGTTTAGGAGATACCACCAAGCTGCTTTTGTCTTCTGACTCCTCCTTGAACTTCTCAATCTCGTTCTGCACCAGTCTTTTTATTGACAGCGACCTCTGCATCCTAAACGATGCCCTCTCTTCTTCCACCACTGTAATCCCACTCTCCCTCTCTAGAGTCTCCGTCTTTATCACAATCTCCTTAGTGCTTGCCTTCAGTGCTTCCACCCACGCCATTGCTGCTTCCACTTTCTTCTCTGCGGTTTCTTCAGCGTGACGTGCTTGTCCACTCAGATACTCGTACTCGAATCTTGAGATTGTGATGTTTGAGTTACCCTGACAATGCTTTTCTCTAGTCTCCATTGTTTTCTCCACCATTGATTCAAGCTTCTCCAGTGCTAAGGCCTCTGCTTGTTTCGCTTTCTCCAGCTCATCTAACTTAGAAAGCAACTCTTTCTCTTTTTCGATTTTCTTTATTTCACTCTTGATGATTGTTGCTTCTTCTTTAAACTCAATCTCTTCTTTCTTTGCAGCTTCTTTATCATTCTTTAGCTTCTCCAACGAACAAGTTAAATTATCAGCAAGAAAACTGACTCTTTCTTCATCTGCAGATACTGCTTCTAGTTTACTCTTCGCCGTAAGCAGCTTCGTGTTGAGTCTCTCAATCATTGCATCATCCTTTTGTATAATCTTTTCAAATCTAGCTGCTTCTTGTTTAACCTCCTTAACTTCTTTCCTCAATGCATCCATTATCTCTCCAAGATAAAGAAGCTCTGCTTTAAGAGAAGCTAACTCCTCCTTCTTAGCTTCTGTTGCTTCAGTAATCTCTTTCAAAACCGTCAAAGTGTCCTTTCCTTTCTTGGATCTCGACATACTATCACTCCTCTGAACCTTCCTCTCCATGTCCTTAACAAGCTTTAACTGCGTCTCCAACATCTCAATGTCTAACAAAGTCTCTGACAACACATTCTCATACTCCTTTGATCTCTCAATCTCTTTCATCATCTCCTTCATTCTCTTCTTCATCTTATCCAGCGACTCAAACGCCTCCTTCCTTTCTCCCTCTCTCTCCTCTTCCACCTCTTTACATTCCTTCAAAGCCTCCATCTTCGCTAACTCAACAAGAACATGCTCTTCATTCCCAACATCCACCTCTAACTTAAGACTCTCAACCAAATTCAAATTATCTTCCATCTTCACCCTTAACTCCATTACTTCCTTCTCTGCCACAACCTTCTCTTTCAAAACAAAAGCAAAATCAAGCTTAAGCTTACTCAGCTCTTGCTTCACATCCTCTAACTCTCTCATGATCTGAGCGTAGTTACCATTTCCATCAATCTTTAACTTCTTCACAGCTTTCCGAGACTTTAACCTAAGATTTGACTCCTCTATAAGTAAAGTTAGCTCCTCCACTGTCTTCTTGGCCTTGTTTAGTTCAGCTTCAGCTTTGGCCTTTGCAGAGTCAGAAGCCTTTCTGCTCTCTCTGTACATACCTAGCTCTCTCCCTGACTTATGCAAGTCCTCAGCAACCGACTGTTAACAAAAACAGAGAAACAAAGAAAAACACATCAAAGAACGAAACTTTATCAACCAAAAGAGCATTTTTGTAACTAAAGAATTGATCTTTGGCCTCCTCACCTTAGCTTCTGGTGAATCTAACTGAGGTGAGACGCTTCGAGTAGCTCTTTGTCCGTACATGTTAATGGCGGCTTTCACTGATCCTATTCTTCTCCCTTCTGCCATTGATTTCTACTCAAACATACAAAGACTTAAGCCAGAATCTCAAACTGAGCACAGACAAGATTCTCCAGAAAAAAATATAAACTTTTGATGATAAGAAAGGGAATGTTTTGAAGGAGGAACTTACAGGAACAGAAAGGTTGTTGTTATGTGTAGCAGAGGATAAACAGAAGAGATGGAGATGATGATGATGATGATTGGCTCACATCCACTCTGTTTTCTTATCATTTTCTTTTCTTTTTGTTCTTACTGGAAAAAGTTGGAGAGAATTTATGAGAGTTTGTTTCTTCTGGAGACTGATATGAGGCCGAGGATACCACAAGTATCACAGACATATATGACATACGAAAAAAATCCAGAAAGTAAATTTTGAGAACATTTTTAGTATACACGCAATATTACTATAACGAGCCATGTGTAAAATTTAAATACAGGGATGTCTGTAGAAGTTAGATACTGTATTCGTTGTCAAATGTAATACTATATTGTAGCGTAAATTTTAAGATGATGGTTATCCTGAACAATTAATAGAAACGCGAGTAAACAATGGTTAGAAGAGAATAGAGAACTACTCCCTCTCTGTCACATTAAATAAGTTGTTTTGGCCTAAATAATTTTTGTTTAATTTGTTTTATTGCTATTTGGAAGTTTATTTTCGAGAAAATTACTATAATAGACTTAAAAAAGTTTTTATCACAAATATAGACTTTAACAATTAAAACGACCAAAATAGCACTTAAATGTTTTATTAAATATACATTTATATCCTTGGATTAACTAATCCTAAATTTTTTGTTTAGAGTTAAGGAGTGGGATTTTGGGGATAGAATTTCGAATTTTTAAAAATTAACTTAAATTTTTCAAAATAAAAAGTGATATTTTGATCATTTTAATTTTTAGAATTTTTTTTTTGTGATAAAAACTTAAAAATACTATTTGAAAGAATTGCCCCATATTTTTTTAGGAGTTATTTTCATTGAGAGTCACTTTATCAGATTTAATATCATACTAAGACACTTATGACTACCGACACACTTTTTTTTAACTATTCTCATTATTCATTAACCAAAATCAAACTAAATCCTAGATTACTAGGACCCACTTGTTTTGAAAAAGAAAGATCCATTTTTATTTTTCTCTTTCTCATCTTGTTCTTCTTCTTTTTCTTTTTTCTCCCACATAATTGTTTTTACAGATCTAAATTGTAATCCCAGATGTTTTGTTATTTTCATTTAATTCATCATTAGCTTAGTAACAAATTGTAACGATAAAAAAATTATCATCGTCTCTGAACCTCTCCTACCACCGTCTATCTCTTCCTCAGTAACCGCTAAATTAAGGTCAGATCTGTATTAAAACACTAAATGGCCACACTCTCTGTTATTGCCTGAATTTTCATGTGTGAAGCTGTTGTAAATAAAAAAATGACTACACCCTCTATCATTGCTCGATGGCGAGCTCCTACAGCAAAGCACCACTCCGCTGTCTCATTGGTCATCGAAGATTCACCTCCACCATGCTCAGATCTACCGAGTGAAAGCTTGGGAACAACAATGGTTACGTTTCTGTTTTTTGCACATTTGGTCCTTCAAGTTTTTATTTTTTTCATTTTTCACTTCAAACTTTTGAATTTGAAAAAAATGACTTTTGTTTTTGCTCTAAACTTATTAATGTGTATTGTAACCTTTGTTATATGCAAATAAGTACACACTTTGGTATGATTCATTTATTGTGTACGTTGTTGTAATGATATTATGTACACAAAATTATTTCAATATCCACATGTTCATCGTTCACTTGTACACCATGTAACTTGTACAATGATTCACATGTACACAATGTACAAATTTTTGTTTTAGCTTAACTTGTAAAATATTCTCTCAATTTCCTGAGTATCATCTGATGAATCATAGTCCACTAATCTAATGATCTAGCCACTAAATTTTAAAGCAAAACATAAGTAATCACCTATAAAAATATCACAAAGATATTATTAAAGTTTTCAAATTACACAAAAGAAACGAAATTAGAATGTTTGAAGCCATTTGATATGTACACTATGCTACATACACAAGTGTTTTAGTATCCACATGTACACTAATTCACATGTATATTTAGTATCCACATGTACATTGATTCACATGTACACAAATAATTTGTACGATAATACATGGACTTCATACAATTTCACTATCTTCGTGTACATAAACACTAAATATGTAGATATTCCAATTTAGATCAGTACCAATTTACAAGGGAATATGTACACCGATTTATTTGTACATTGCTCAAGTTATGATGATAATTGATAATTTTTATTATAATTGCCCAAAAGGGGAAAAGATCACATGTATATATGTACTAATCAAAATAGTTAATAAAATACACCAAACTTTACAGATGATATATATATATATATATATATATGTACATATGTACATGTATGTGTACACTTTTTAGATAGCAAAGGATGTAAATTTGGCGGCATACATTATTTGACGTGTACACATGTACATCAAATGGTGGAATAATATAATGTAGTTGTTTGTGGTAAGTTATAAACCTGTTAATATTTGTAGTGAATCTATGCACATATAAGTGGATTCGCCGTTACTAATCAAAATAGTTAATAAAATACATCAAACTTTACAAATGGTATATATATATGTATATCAAAATTTGTGTGTACACATGGACATTGTATGGTTGTACACAATTTGAAACTAGCAAAATTATTCAATTAGATAGTGTGATATTATGGTAATGTGTACACATATTTCTACTATCTCACTTCTAAGTCAAAGTACACGTTTTGAAACTTGTAGATCCAGATGAGTACGTAATGTTATACCATGATAAGAATGTATACATATACCATGACAAGCATAAACGACGATGTATACACATACAAGAAAACTGGGTCGTTATGTTTGTTATTTTAAAATTATTGTGAAGATTATTTTGTGATGGATGTGTGGTGTATATCTATCATGCAAGTGGAATTGTGTGTTGTTAATCGTTGGTTTTTTGTTAGGTAAGATGAGCATGTACACGCTGGACCTTGTCCATATGGACAATCATGAATGACGATGTACACACAGATAAGCATTCGTTGGCTTTTTGTTAGGTAAGATGAGCATGTACACTATGGACCTTGTCCATATGGATAATCATGAATGACGATGTACACACAGACAAGCATGAGTTGGCTTTTTGTTAGGTAAAATGAGCATGTACACGATGGACCTTGTCCATATGGACAATCATGAATGACGATGTACACACAGACAAGCATGAATAACGTTGTACACATGGACACAAGTGAACACGTGCAAATGTACACATAATTACCTATATGCAGATGGGATGTGTATCTGAGATGGGGGATTTGAGTGTGTTCTGAATATACACTAACATATTCAAGTGTTGAAGGACAAAGATAATTTGTGTACAAGTTTGAGGGGAGAAACATATAGGATAGTGTACATAACATTGGGTGTACACATGTACATGACAGTATATGTTTATCAGAGTAATACAATATAAATCATCGAAAAACAATAGAAGAACCAATGGTTGGATATGTTTAGCAGAGTAATAACATGTTATCATCAAAAGTTCTAGGCCTCTCACTAGCAACAGAACCTTGACTCCTCGTGGACTGAGACTGAGACTCTTTGAGGAAAGACGAATCAAGCATTGATACAATTTGCAAACCAGCAAACACAGTCAATTTGGATTCACAATTTCTTCTCTTGATGGTTGTAATCATCTCCTGAGCCTGCATTGCAGCTCAACGGCTGAGAATCTGAGCTTGGTGTCTTCTAGATGATTCAGCTAAGTTATCACCTTCAATTTGAGACGATATTTGTCTCCTCCGCACAAGCTGATCTCCTCGTTGTCCTCGTCTTCTTGGTTGTGAACATAGCAGAATGAGATGCAATCGTCTAAGTGTCCGCACATGAATTCCTTGAAACCTCGCTCGAAATCGGCACGAGCATAGTCTCTAGATTTTTTTTTTGTAGTGGTTGAATACTTGTCATCGTTAAGCTTTAATGGAAACCACCAAAATCTTAAAAAATGATTTGTTTCTGTTAAATGCTATTAAATAAAACAGCATAGTAACACAATCAATCTCAAACCCTAAAATCTACAAATTCTTCATACCATTCACCCAAATGTCTCAGCGAAATTAAACAATTAAACTCAAATTATACTTCTAAAGAGAAAGAAAGTCGAAATCAATTTTAAAAAGATAAGGAATTGAGATTATCAAAACGTACATTTTCTTAGGTGATCTTTGTCAATGGCGAAACATTAAATAAGAAGAAATAGATGACGATGGAGGAGAGAGATTTGGAAAAGAGAGAGGGAGAGAATCGAAGAGATATGAGAAATGTGTGGCTGAGGTTAAACCCTGCCACTTGTGTAATTACGTTAGTCAATTATGTTTGTAAGAGTAAACTAAATCAGTTAAGAATGAACTATAAAGTTGAGATAAAGTGTCCTTGTAGAAGAATGTGACCTGTTATGATATTAAAAGATGAAAAGTGACCTTGAATGATATTATTTCTTTTTTTAGCGACTCCTACATTTGTAGGTCTAACAATTGGTTGTCAGATGATGTGCTTCTGCGTTCTTATTGGTCGTTGTTATTTAAAGTAAAATTTTCATGAATATAAAGATTTAGTCGGGATGCATGTATTGGGATTTGTGTTACTGAAGTTGTGGTGAAATCATGGTGCTTGGTGCATCCCATGTAGAACCTAGGTGGGGCATGTGATACATTGATTTTTTTTTCTTTAACAATTATCTATAATTTATGTAAATGTTCCTAATTTAAATATGTTTTATTAATATATGTCACATATTATAGAAAAAGACTTCCGGCACTTCTGCATAGGTGGAGATTGGTGACCAAGCAGCTTCTTCACCCGTATCCCTTTGGGTAATGTTTAATCTTTAATCTTTGAAATTTAATAGAGAGAATTAGACAAATACCCAAAATTAAGGTCAATATTAGAGGATTACACATGAGTTGACATAACTCTAAAGTTTTGTACAATTTGGTCTTGGTTGGACACTGAAACCATTTTTACAATTGGCTGACACTCTCTCTCCTTCTATTTTGCAGCCACACTCTCTTTCCTTCTGTTTCTCTCTTTATTTTTTATTATACTTTCTTTACTTTCACATTTTTTCTTCCAGATATTTTAATATAAAAAACAAAGTATTGATTTGTTTTATTACACCATAGATTGAGAAAATCATCATTGCAATATCTTTAAAATCACCGATTGTTAACACATGTGTTATCTGTAACAAATAATGTAAATGTTAATAGATGTGTTAGCTGTTAACAAATACATGTACCAGAGGTGTTAGCTGTTAATAAATTTGTTAACAGTTAATGTCTCT